AAGATATATAAGAACTTCGATTCTTAGACAGATCCAATAGCAGTCACTATATAGACTCGTCCATTGATCTGACTGCCGGCAATATCGACCGATGGTATGATCGCCATATCGGACGATAGAAGTTGCCGTCGATCGATTACTCTACAGGAGTATCGATCAATATAGCATTAGATCGAATCGAAACTGTGTTCACCAAGATCATAGACCGGCTCTCGCACATCCCTAGAGGATCGAAGCTTATGCAAAATGATTTTAGGATAATGATTAACAAATTAAATCATTCCATGATCATACTCTAGTTAGCTACCCTAGAATAAGCATTAGGGTTCATCTGGATAATGAATATCACAACTTAACATTCCTTAGTTAGGGCTAATCCCTCATAACTATTTGAACCCTAAATCTAACAAGTGAATCTACTCAGACATGGCTAAGTGATTCATAGCAGCAAAGTAATAATAGAAATTCATAAGATTAGAAGATTGAACTCTTGGTTCTTTGGAACAACAAATCTCTTTGTGTGTTTCTTCTAAATCTGAAATTCTATAACCTTTGAGAGTTGAAATGAAAAGAATACTTTATTGCTAAGTATAAAATAGTATCAAAAGCACAAAACAATAAAAAACATACAAAGCACAAAACGCATGTCTTGCCAAAACACATAGGCATAACTATAAATATGAGTTCAATTAGGTTTAAAACTCGCCAGGGGCAATCTTGTAATATTGAGAAAATTTGGGCTTCAAGTCGGCCAAGTCAGACTTGTTCTTCATGCTTCATATCTATCGATGGTACATGGCGTACATCGATCGATGGAGTATCTCGACTTCATCTTCTATGGAAGCGTCATCGATTGATTACACAGGATGTGTATCGATCGATATGTATCTCTGGATATTGACCTTGTCATCTGATCTTCATAGTCATCTCGGAAAACTCTCCTTTAAGCTCCATAAGGGCACCTAAATCATCACTTTACTCCAAAATGCTCCTGAATCTGAAAACATACCTAATAGACTCCAAAACACACACACATATATATATATATATATATATATATATATATATATTGTAAAAATATCTCAATACCATGGCTAAAAGTGGGTCAAAACCATGGTATATCAATGGTCGTAGAAAACGTTTTTTCACTTTTAGATTTGATTATACGATGAAAGTTTCGTATAATCTTTCCTTTATTCGTATGAAAGTTGTTTCTTTTTTTATCCGAGGGAGACAAAGCCTAAGAAGCTCGATGCAGAGCCCGTGCGGAGTCAGTTGCGGGGTGACTTCATGCTCAGATGTAATCGAGGGGAATGAGAGCGGATGACCGTGAGCCGCAGGGCTAAAGAATGAGATCTTACAGATCGTGTAACGAGGAAACAAAGTTTAGATTGGTCATCCAATGTTGGATCGTATAGCTTGGTTTTTGCTATAAGGAAAGTTCTTTTTCGTAAAATGTGTTACGTTTACTTTCGAAAGGAAAACCCTAATTTTCCACAGGTTCCGGATCTCTGCGAGGGCCAATGAAAAGTAACCAAATAAATGTGGAAAATATGAAAAACATGATAAAATGGATTTATATAGAAAGTAGATCTTATTTCGAATCCGCATAAGAGCGTTGCGATTATTACAAGAGATTACAAAAGCTTTGGCCGCAAGAGCTGTCATCGACTTATCTAGTTCTAGCATCGAAAAACCTTAAACCTAGTTGAGTCACAGCTCAATAACAAAAGATAAAAAGATAAGAAAAAGGGTTTTGATTGATTTCGGACTGAACCTTATGAAAAGCTACCTACATACCCCTTTCGAGGATCAAGCCGAACGTAGTTCAATTGATAGAGCTGGAAAAGAGATCAAACTGCCTAGGCGAGTTCGTCCAGTAATTGAGTGCCATTCATAGAAACTAAACTTGTCGAGAATAAAGCCTAAGTTTCTAAGTGCAGAGAGTTCTAAGTCTAAAAAATTTGTAAAAATTCTCCTCCCCTTGACTTCGACCTTGTGCTTATATACTCCTCCTCTAGGCAGTTGGTCTTTCATTTTCCGCCCCGATTCGTGTTTATCAGTCATCTTCCATTTTCTTGATCTTCCTATTTTTCCTTGGAAAACTTCTATTTTGTCTTCAAACTCGACATTTATCCATTCCTGAAAATAATATGTAAACCGTCATCATATCTTTGGGCTTGATCTCGTCTAAAGTGGTGAGTGGGCCTTTATCTCATTTTAGGACTTTCCGAGCCGTTTTGTGACTTAGCCGTTTTACGATTTTAGACGGGATCGTTCCATGATACGACGACGTTTTTATAAAATATCTCGAGTCAATCGTATAGTTTGGAAATGTCCGGTGTTTTCTTTAACCGTTGCCATTTTATACGATTTACTCGAGGTCTTACGAGAAAACAAAATTTTAGCAGTTTTTATCGTAAAACTCCAACGGCAAAACGGATCGAGACGAAATGAGAGATGTTCCTATCACGGTTCAGAGTACGATCAAGTTGAGGGAAATATGCCTTGCTTCCGGGTAATGTGGATGGTAAGGTTCGGGTTGGTTAGCTCACTGGCTCGGCGACCTGGACGGTGTGGTTCAGCTCTCCAAAACGTCGAGCTGGTTTGGGAAGACCAGCTCGCCGGCTAGGAGAGCTGAACGGGACAGTTCAGCTCGCCAGGCCGGCGAGCTGGTTCGGGACGACCAGCTCGCCGGCTGGGAGAGTTGGACGGGACGGTTCAACTCGCCCAGCCGGAGAGCTTGTTAAGCACGGCCGGCTCGCCAGCTGGGTGAGCTGGAAGGGACGGTTCAACTCGCCCAGCCGGCGAGCTGGTTAGGCATGGCCAGCTCGCTGGCTTGGCGAGCTGATTGGCCGTGGTCAGCTCACCGTTTTGGCGAGCTGATCAGTCTCGGTCAGCTCGCCGGCTTGGCGAGCTGATTGGCCGTGGTCAGCTCGCCGTCTTGGCGAGCTGATCGGCCTCGGTCAGCTCGCCCAGCCGGGGAGCTGGACCTGTTCGGTCAGCTATGGTTGTTTCTCGTCTTCTCGATCCGAGGTTCTTTCGGAGAACATAAGGATTTTGATTTCGAGATTACCGTTTTTGACCTTAACATGAATTGTTTTTAATTATTTTATACTTTGATATGGGTTTTTTGTAATTTCGTATCTCCGTAGAAAGTCTATAGTTTTTCTTGTATTCTTTTTCCGGGACTTTAAGGCATTGATTCCGTCGTGACTGATTTTGACCCCAACACTCGCAAGCTTTCAAGTTGTTTGTGAAACGACACAGCTTGAGAGTCGAACACACTGAAGGTGACAGACACGTCACTACAAAGGAAAATATGCGGTCCAAATCCTCAATGTGTTTGTCTAATAAAACGGTGTTATCAGTTATAAAAGTGTAGAAGCCTATATAAGAAAGTAAAAGATCCCTATCATCTATCTGATTGCCATGACACTGTCTTTGCCTTGATCGCTTACATGACTATTTACAGCAGTTAGCTCGACAATTATATCTGTCATAAGATGAACATTTGAAAGAGTAAATGGCTTTTAATGATGAGGTTAAGCAAATAATAATAATAGGGTTACCTGGAAGATGGGTGCTGGTGTTTACTAGGCCAAGCATTTCATCTTCATGCGGAACTGGAAAAGTTCTTCAAGGATCGGGCTAACCGGTACGGTTATCTCATTGAATGTCATTAAGATGGTGAATCGGATAGACAGTTGAGAGTCGGATAGCTTGAAGTTTAGATTACTTAGAGTTACATCAAATCTGGTGACAGAGTACATTGAGCCCGCCCAGAAAAGATGCTTGAAGGTATTTAGGCATTGCACGTTGTGGCTTGCAATAATGTTGCTACAATACATGAACATAGTGAAGCGAAATTAACAAAGAAAACATAAAGATCTCAGAAATACAAACATAAGATTTTGTATTTAAAAAATCGATTAATATGTGTTTTAACACTGAAACTACCTTAGAAAAGCATGTCTAAACCCATGAGCTCGCCACCATGTTTGACATTACTCGCTTCCTAAAACCTAAATAGGCGGACGTTTCTGAACAACTACATCAAAAGTAATCTTATTATTTCTCATGAAGCCTTAACGCAAGCAGTTAGAGTTTTTGAGAAGAATGGGAAGAGAAACCGTCGCAGGTAGAGAGGACGCGATGCTCGTTCTATGCTGACATTTCTTTAAGGTTACATATATACACATCGATTATGGGCCATTTTCCAACAAAGTCTAACACCAAACCAAATAAAACACAAAAGAAACAAACCAATGCGACGTTAACACGTGTCAACATTTTATCAGTGAACTTATTTAGGTGACACCCTACGTGGAAAGGAGTGAGTAAACACTCCTTTATATATAATTAGATCGGAGGATAATCTGAGCTATATATAATATAGCTTTAGAAAGTGTGACATAAATGTTCAATAGCGCAAATCGGTATTGATTTTTTTGTCACGTTTGTATTGCCTTTCCTTTTTGCTTATAATGGAGAGTGGATCTTCCCTTAAATTACAAGTTGTCACATAGGTTCACGTAGAGATGTCAAAGGAGACCATAACCCGCGGGTTATGTCTAAGTAGCCTAATTACGATATTATTTTTGGAGATTTAGCATCATAAGATTTTTATCAGTAAAAAACAGAACGAATAAAGGGAATGATATTGGTTTAGTTTGAGTTTGGATGTGTTGTTGTGTAGGAAGTTGGTAATGCCTAAAATTAACCATAACAAAAGTAACGTATTCCTCAAAAATAGCAACATTAAATACCAGAACCACAATTATGTCTCTCTCTCTCTCTCTCACCTTTATCTAGGGTAGCCTCCCTAAGAAACACACAGAAGATAAGCATGAACACAAACCGTCGCAACAAATCCATTTGATACCTTAAATTTCCCTGATCAAAAGAAAATACAAACCCATTTGAAACAAAAAGAAAAGCGTGAAATGATGCAATAGGGAAAAAGAAGAAGGAGATAGAAGATAGAAGAGGCAAAGGGCATGGAAGACAGTCGTAGAGGATTATCTTCAACACCACAATCACGCAAGATCATGGTGATCGCTGACCCTACCCGTGAATCTGCAGCTGCTCTTCAATACACTCTTTCACACGCCGTGCTCGAGCAGGACGAGCTCATCCTCGTCCATGTTGAAAACAATGGTGGCTCGTGGAAAAACGCTTTCTCGAGTTTCTTGAGATTACCAAGCTCCATTTCCTCCTCCTCCTCCTCTAGTACCAGCGGATCCTCACCGGGAGCTGCTAATGCTAACGCTAACACTGCAATCGCAGCTTCATCTTTGGCATCTGAGATTGGTCAAGGAGAAGGGAATTTCCTTGAACAAATGAAACGGATATGTGAAATCGCTCAGCCTAAGGTGCGTGTGCACACTGAGTGTATTACCATGGAAGGCATCAAAGCTGCATCTATTCTTCTGCATGGAGACAAACTTGGGGTGGATGTTATTATCATTGGCCAACGTCGAACAATCTCAGCCTCCCTTCTAGGGTCTACTCTCTCTCTCTCTCTCTCTCTCTCTCTCTCTCTCTCTCTCTCTCTCTCTCTCTCTCTCTCTCTCTCTCTCTCTCCATTTAGAAAAAAAACATGAATTGTGACATATTTCAGAACATTAAACATGAACCGGTCGCAAGCTAGAGTAAAAATGTCCTGCTGTACACATATTTTATTCCAGAAAATAGAAAAGATAAACTTTTAAAGTTTCAGAGCGGAGATTTCGATTAAATATAAAATGATATGAGGATTGTGTATTGACAGATCTAGGAGGCCTGGAGGGTCTCTAAGAGGACCAAAAGGCATAGACACTGCAGAATATTTAATCGAGAACAGCAAATGCACCTGCGTTGGCGTACAGAAGAAAGGTCAAAATGGAGGCTATGTTCTAAACACCAAGACCCATAAGAATTTTTGGCTCTTGGCATGATATGCGCATATTGCGCCTAGTCAGTCTATGATACTTACTTGTAGCTAAAAGACAAAAAAAATACCAGCCAACTTCACTTGTTTCTTTCATCATCTTCAAATTCTAGCAATGAAGTTTCTTTTAAATGTTGTTCCCTCCTCCGACCACCGAACGTGGGTAAAATTTGTAAATATGGAACATATATAATCAGTTGACACCAATCTGAATCAACGGATGTAAGAAACTAGAGAGTCATGACTTGCAGGGTAAATAATAAGCATAAACATTAGTGCAGACTCATAAAACCATTAATTCGCTAAACACTCAAACTCAGTAAATATTGGCCCATGCAAAATGACAAACGGAAAGTCAATTCATGCGCATGTTAAATGATATCTCTTTTTGTATTGTGGATCTTTTTTCTAGACACTACAAGAAAACACTGGAAATCCTGACGAACGTTCCGACGGAAACTTAGGTTGTCGGAAAATGCCGACGATATTCCGACGACATACCGACGAAAACCACAAAATCGAAGTCGTCGGAATTTCGTCGGAAATTTCCGACGGATTCCCGACAAAATACGTTCGTCGGAATATTCCGACGAAATTCCGACGATATGCCG